CACAGCAGACTTTGCGTAGGCGGATGCAGTTAACATATAGAGGATTTGACATTCAAGAAACAGTCACAAATAGATGAAAGATTAACTTTAAGTGAGAAACAACCAATCGGAAGACTGTGTTTGTTTGCTTAAATATTCATAGTAATGTACATGAAAATATATAAATATGCGTTGATTTCCTTAATAAATGATCTGTTGCCTTCTGTTGTTACACTATGATTAGGAGAGATGAGACAACGATTCAACGATCTATTTTTCCTAAACAGACATGGAGTGGACAATATCTTCATTTTACCAGTTTTGTTCCTATCCAGTATAAACGTTCCCTAGTGAAATGTTTGTTCTCAAGGGCCCAAAAAATATGCACAAGTGACACATTGATGAATGAGTTTCGAAATATACATTCAGTTTTATTAGCTAATGGTTATCAAGAGAACTTTAACACTTGTCACAATGAAGAAAGACCACATCTCGAAGAGACAGATTCTGTACTAAAGAAAGCTATCTTTATTAACCTATCCTTCAAGGGCGACCAGATTATGCAGTTGAAGCTCAAAGACTTCGGTCAGCCATCAAAGGCACATTCTACGCCGCATCTCTTTTTCTCATTTGCCGAACATTTTCGATCCGTGTACCTACGATTAAAGGACGAAATTCGGTGGGCTCTACTTCAAACTGTATCTACAAGTTCACCTGCAGCTGCGGTGACACCTATATAGGTAGAACCAACAGAATGTTCCAATGTCGTCGAAAAGAACATGTTCCAAAATGGCTACTAAATCATATAGAAAATCCCAATGCCAGTAATCTGAATAGAAATCCAGCATCATCCATTGCAAAACACTTATTAATGTCAGGTCACAAAATCAATATTAATGACTGTTTCACAATTATTTCATCACATAACTCTAATTCAAGGTTGGTTATTGAATGTGATGGAAGCACTTTGGATTAATCACATACAGCCTAAACTATGTGTACAAAGCATAATAGACTTCAACCTTCGCCTACAATGGACTACATGAGCTACCTAAATATGATTGGTCATTAGTGTGTACTTTTGTTTTTTTATTTAACTGAGTAATTGTCATGAGCATTATTTTATTATTGTGAACTATGTTAGTTGTAAAGCGGTTGTAAAGAAACTATGAAATGACGATATCATCTCGCGAAATTTATCTTCTAAATGTCTTATTCAAATTCATCAAAAGGACTAATTGTTTTAACTATATATATTTGTGCTTGTACAGGTAGGAAAATGAATTCGCCGCCGAAAGGAGACTCTTCGCTGAACTACGTGTTTTGTTTTCACGAATTATTATCATCGTTCAAGTGTTGGTTTGTAGGGATTTGGTTGATTGGTTACAGGATTTCATCATGAGCTGACATCAGTTAGAGAACCATTGGAAAACCTGGATAGCTGTTTCGTCCTTGTTTGGGACTCTTCAGTAGTATGTACTCACCGGGATTCGAACCCAGGACGTTATTATTATCGTTATTATTGCTGTTTTAAATAGTAATGAATTTAACTGCATATTTTGAATATTATGTCACCTCTCTTCATAATTATTAGTATTATTATTAATCAATATTTCTTAATGTCTACAATATTTATAAAGACAATAGATTACTTGATCAGAATAAACTGAATCCTATTGAATCATGGCCGAGAAATACACTACACAGTTTTGAATCTCCTTACTATGCTGGTAGTCGAAAGGACAAATACACTAAACCGTTGAATCATTCAGCTGAAATATGTGAACGTTGGTTAGGCAATCAAGTGAGTGATTGTCAAAGCTAATGTTTTATCGATTAATGTCCATATTCTTTTCAAGTTTTCACACTTTGATTGGACACTACTAGTAACTAGTGTGACGTGTCTAGTCCTTTGTTTACTGCAGACTGAATTCTATCAGTCAGGTTTTCAATGTGGCCACCATTCTAGGTAGCTCGCCATCACGGTGCACACTGATTTTATGGTGTAAGATAGTTGGAGGCAATCGACAGGAAGTCAATCCCGAGCCCGAATAGCTAAATCAGTGGCTGGTAACGTCTCTGACTGCAGCGCTCACTGGGTGATGCGGGTTAGAATCTCAGGAGGGACATGAGTTCCTTCAAGGTTGCAGATACGCCTTGCTGACTGACTGGTAAGTGCCAATTAGCACGAAACCTAGGTCAGGTAAGGCTTCCTGTCGCCGATTGCCTCCAAGTATCTAAGTATTTATGCTACATATACGGACTAGATCTTCATTTTACTCCGGTTTTTATTAAGTGAACATCATTTTGTCTAGGTTTTTTACGTTTTGTTTTGGTGAAGATTTTGAGGCAGTAAGTCGCCTAATTAAAGAACTCTTTGTTTTTTTCTTGAAAAACTGAATTATTTGTAACTACGCCGAAGTGGCGCTTCACTTCTCAGGAAATTAATAAATATTCCGTTTCTCAAGTTTAACTAAGGATTAATATCAGTTAGAGAACCATTGAAAACTAGGGAGTAATGGACTGCTGTTTTGTCCTTCTTATTCTGGGACTCATAAGCGTTACTCTCACCTTGTATCCGGAAAGTTCTGGGATGGGTACTGACGATGATTCTCAAACTAGGACAAAATACCTGTCTGGTACTCCTAGTTGGTTTTCACTGCTTCTCTAACTGATATCCAACCGTGATCAAACTTCAGCAAGCTTGACAGAAAAACGCAGGAATTTGTCCAATTCCCTCATTGTCACAGGGTCCTTAAAGTTCTTCAATCAACGAAATATTCCCATATTGAGTCATAAGAAAAAGACGTAAACAGCGAATAGTCGAAATGAAAATTTTCTTCGATGTTTACGTCTTTTTCTTATAATTCTTGAAAATTAGTTTGATGTTCGCCGGTGATTACATTTGAAAAGTATCAGTAAGAGATGGAAAGGTAATCTGTATTAACATAACACTGAACTGATTGAATATCAGATAAATTAAGGAAAGAGATACAGAATTTATAATTTCCTCAGCAGGATTAGGATCGCAAAAGTGGCTGTACCAGTTTCTTTTGTAGGTAGACCTCTAGTTGATTTAAGCGAAATGTAATGGCTTTTGCTCTCTGAAGTGTTCGGTATCTAGAGGCCTTTAGTAATTTATTCGACACTCGGTAGATGAAAGAGAAAAACTCCTGTGGACTGTTTGGTCCAATACAGAACTGTTAACGGCTTTAACAGCACGTTTATTTAACCACACTGGTGGGCGTTCCAAAACGATAACGAAAAATTGGTTTCCTAGAGCAAATAACGGCCAATATAACTGGCCGCACATGAGCAGTTGAATTGCTAGGTAAAATTACAGGTAGCCAGCTCGCCTAGTTAACTCATTTTTCATTTTCCAAATCACAATCAGTTTTGCGATTTCATGATATTACATCATCGCTAAGAGTGATAATACCGAATGACGTTGATTGGGATTAGTCATTAAGATAGAGAAGGTGATGTTCTGATTATCAATTGTTAAGCTGTCTACAACTTCAGCTACTTCTCCAGTTTTCAAGAGATGAAAGGATGTTGACGTTCGCGTAAAGAAGTACGATGTATGCAAATGCAAGTGCTTATCTTCCAACTCTTGTATTATCAAAACACCAAACTAGTCGTCCAAAAATATGAGATATATTTCGGGATCAGACTCGTATTACGATGATGATTGCTTAGCTAGCTAGTGGTCGTGCGTGAACAACAGAAAGTAACATGACAGCACGGTAGATGGCGTGATTGCTTGACCACGAACCTTCAGCTTAACGAGTCGACTAAAACACTGAAGGTCAGTCCTCAGTGATAAGCGAGGAATGCTGTAATCTTATAATTTTGGGAAATTATTTACCTCTACAAGTTTAATGCCATATGTCAAAGAATCCACAAAGGAAAACTCAGCGATGCATTTCAAGTGAATACAGCAGTAAGACAAAGCTGCCTACTACCACCCAAGATGATATTCCTCGTTGTGGTGGACTGGATTGTGGGGAACAATAGTGAGAAGAGAGATAACTGTAGTACGTTGAACTGATAAGAAGACTCATGAAAATCTGAACTTGGCGGACGATTTATGTCTAATGTCACACAAACCCGAAGATTTACAGGCAACAACTAGCAAACTGGTAGAAGAAGAAGCCAACGAAGACAGGACTGTAAGTGAACATAGAGAATATGGAGGTGATGAAGACAACCAACTAACAGTAACAAGCACAAACCACTATCAACAAAACAAATTTGAAAGAGGTCACTTCCTTCACTTATCCAGCCAGGTAGAATCACTTCAACTACAGGCAAGAGGCATGCATGACAATGTGAAAATCAGGATCGGAAAGCTTAGCGAGACCTTCACCACTCTGAAATCCTGGTGGATTCCACTGCTTGTCGCCATCCTCATATTAAAGTAATAATAATGTATTATTATTGTTCCCTTGGGTTTCGAGTAGAACATAAGGCTTCAACAACACCTCTCCAGTATCATCTATTTTCTGCCATCCTCTTCAGCTGGGTCCACGATCGCCCAAACTCTCTCGTCTTTTCCTACCCAAACGATCTCCTCCATGTCACCCCCCACTCGTCGCCCCCCATTTGGATTCCACTCAAGGGACTCACGCGTGATGTCAAGCTAATAATAATAACAACATAAGTTTAAATAAGAATTTTATGCTTTCATCAAGAATAAATTTCTAATTCGCTTTCAAAAAAAGATCATTTTCTTGATTCTTTTCTTTCCTTATTTTTTTTCAGGATGACTATACTGACAGAAAAGATCCACTCGATTTATCTGACTTACCAAATTATAAAATGACGAGTAATTATCTGCAAAACACTCATGGTTTTACATATCAATTAGATGAAAAAGTTTCCAGTTCAGAGTATAGTGAAGCAGAACGAGATGGACAGCTGGTAGGAAATTCTTTTAATTATTTGCTAACTAGTTGTATAATGAATCTAATTGTATTTTCATTGTTAATTTCAGACAGCAACAATAAAAATCCCCATTGAGTCACATATGTAAAAGAAAAGACGTTCAGCAAGGCGTTAATCTTTTCCCTTTTCCTCTACAGCTGCAAATGTATTTGCGACTTGTCTTAACAATAAAAGGACTATCTCCAAAGATGTGTCATTACTATAGTAAATCTTCTTTTTCAATTATTGGTTTTGTAGGGATTCAGTTTTGATTGGATGGAGGATTTCATCATGAGCTGATATCAGTTAGAGAACCATTGCAAAACCTGCCAAGGAGTACTGGACAGCTGTTTCGTCCTTGTTTGTGACCCTTCTTCATTACGCACCCACCAGGGTTCGAACCCAGCTCAGCTCATGATGAGATCTTCCATCCAATCAAAACTAAATCTTTACAAAACCAATACTTGAAAATTAATTAACCTGATGCTCACTAGCGACTGGCCCTATTCAGGCAGTGACCTGGGGTTTTAGTGGGAAGCTATGACCAGTAGGGTACAGCAGGTTGCAGATGAGGCAGTAACTCATCTAAGAAGACATTGCGAAATGGTTGCGCTATGTCGTGAATTGACAGAAGTTAGAATTCATGGGCCTGGTCAATGGTCTACGAGCTAGCTCGCCTTGTAACCAGAAGGTCCTGGGTTCGAACCCTGGTGGTGGGTGTGTACTGATGAAGCAGGGTCCCAAACTAGGACGGGGGAAACAGCTGTCCAGTACTCCTTGGCAGGTTTTCCAATGGTTCTCATGATGAAATCCTCCATCCAATCTTCTATTTTTAGATAACGAATCACGTAATATAAAAAAGCGTTAATCGGTTGTGAGCTAAAATGAAATAAGTGAATTGAGTGACGCAATTTCATTGACAGAGTTGAGTAGAATTCAACTGAAGTTGAACAAGAGTCAAATTAACAACAGTGGTAATAAGATGTAGAAATTTAACAGGCGCCTATCTGGTGTTAAGTGGATTTAGTGCCTGAATAAAATTCTTCTGTATACAGAATTCGGGATTGAACATGTGAATCTGCATCGCTTCTGAGGTTCAAAGATTCCCACGTATTCTGTATTTGATTTTGACGTTGGTTTGTGGGTTAGCTTGGTGTCCAGATTCGATCAGGTATTCCTGGAGAGATAGAACTGCTCCCAACACTTACTGTCATTGCCTTGCAAGTTCAGTCCTTGATGGTGTTGTGAGCAACCAAAACTTGGACGAAACAGCTGTCCATTACTCCCTGATTTTGTTATCAGATGGTTAGAGGCAGTCTTCAGTAAGCCTTGAACCTGGGTTTCGTGCTTGTTGGCATTCGTCAGTCAACAAGGAGTATCTGCAACCTTGAGAGGACTTATGACTCCTCGGAGACTGGAATCCGTGTCAGCCAATACAGCAGTCGGAGATGTCATCACTGGGCTATTCAAGCTATATTGAATACTTAGCTTTAAAACTAGGTAGTAAGTGACAAGCGTCATGCGTCTGCTCCCTGGCTTCCAATGGTTCTCTAACCAATAGCAATCCGTGATCAAACTAGTAAATGTTTACATCAGGCGATCGATTCACAGTCATTTAGGATTTCACTCATTGGAGCTTTACTTCTATATTAGCTTGTTTATTATATGTATCACACAGTGAGGGAAACAGTCTTACTTACTGGATGACGTTTCGAACAAAATTTTTTGTTCATAATCATACCACATCAATTGTAATCACACAACTCCGAAACTTGAGTTTTTTAGTTTTCTTTATTCGTTCCTATTTGTCGTTGAAGTGTTAGGAGAATTTTTCAGATGTCTGGGTGGACAGGTGTTGAATTATTCCCATTACACGTGTTTGCAGTTGATTCGATAAACAAAGCTTCCGTTATCAATCTCTCCCTCCTCCACCCTGTGACATTAGATTTTAAAACTGTCATCTTATCCCATCCTATTGTATGGTTGTGTGTAATTGCATGTAGTGAGTGGTATAGCTGAACTATTCTCTAGATTTCTCATCTTATTCGGGTGAACTAATCTAGATTTTCCTAGGTTTTTACGCTCGGCTAGTCTAACTGCCCGTGTTCTACTAATTTTACCTATGTATTTGACCTGACAGTCATTGCAGGGTATTAGATAAACTAAACTGTATTGTTTTATTGGCTCACCAGGATCCTTTAACCTACAAAGCTTGTTTCTAAATGAGTTTGTGGAGGTTTGAGTGCCACTTTTATTCAGCTTGTCTACTGATACATTGAAAATTAGTCCCTTTTTTAATGCACTTATTTCTGTAGGACTTAGTATATATGTTGAGAGATTGATAACCCACTTTGTTTTATCGATTGCTGTTGACTTCAGATTGTTGACTTCATCGTTCTGAGATGAAGATTTCTCCTGTAATAATTTATTGAACTTTTTGATCTTATTATCATTTGACTTTCTCAAAGTTGTTGATTTCGTATTGCTAGAGGACAACACTAACCCTAAGGAATTTAAATCATTAGTAGTAATTACATACAAAGAAGAAACCTCGGAAACCTTACGCAGAATTTCTAACAAGGCAAGAATAAAAATGGCTGTCATTCAAACCACCCACAAACTCAATTAGAAACAAGCTTTGTAGATTAAAGGATCACTCTTGTAAAGCCAATTAAACAAAACTATTTAGTTTATCTAATACTCTGCCGGAATGACTTCCAGGTCATAATATATAGGTGAAAGCAGTAGAGCAATAGCAGTCAGTCGGACTAGCCGAGCATAAAAACCTAGGAAAATCTAGATTATTTCACCCGAATAAGATGAGAAATCTAGAGAATAGTTCAGCTATACCACTCACTACATGCACTTACACACAACCATACAATAGGAAGATATACTGGAAGATATGCAAGCGAAAAGCAACAGGTTGGCAGAAGAAGCATCAAAGATAGGACTTCAGGTGAACATAGGGAAAACAGATGTGATAAAGATTCCTGGGCAACACTAACAGCAACAACAACAACAACAACAATAGACAACAATCAGCATAAATGGGAGAAACCTGAAAGAAACAACCTCTTTTACCTACCTGAGAGGCATCGTTTCAACTGACGAGGATATCAAAGCAAGAATCGGAAAAGCAAGACAAGCTTTCACTACTCTCAAGTCTGTGTGGAGGTCAACAGCACTCAGCATCAAAAATAACATCCGGATTTTCAACTCCGATGTGAAGTCAGTCAGTGATACTATATGGATCAGACACTTGCACTGCGCGTCATAAAGAGCATCTCAAACAAACTACAGACCTTCATTAACAGTTGTCTTCGCTCAATACTCAAGATCAGATGGCTGACCAGAAAAGATCAGCAACAGAGATCTCTGGGAGCGAACCAACCAGGAACCGAATGTGAAACAAACAGGCAGGAAGAAATGGAGATGGATTGGCCATACTCTGAGGAAACCATCAGGTGACATCGCTAGACAAGCGATTGCTCGAGTGGAACCCGAAAGGGAAGCGGCGAGTTTGTCGTCAGTGTAAGGGTGACTTGGCGGAGGTCATGTGAAGAGGAGATGAAAGCATGTGGGCAGACTTGGAGCCAGGTGAAAACTCTAGCAGAGAACCGAACGCAATGGAGACATGCGGCTGAAGCCTTATGTTCCTCTAGGAATTAAAGGAAACAATAATAATAATACAATAGGATGGGATAAGATGACAGTTTTAAAATCCAATGTCACAGGGTGGAAGGAGGGAGAGATTGATAATAGAAGCTTTGTTTATCGAATCAACTGCAAACCAACACGTGTAATAGGAATGATTCAACACCTTTCCGCGCAGATATGTTGACAATTCTATTACCCCAACGAAGACAAATAGGAGAGGACAAAGGAAACTATAAAACTCAAGTTTCAAATTCGTATGTTTATAATTGATATGATTATGAACGGTGATAAATTTTATTCGAAACTTTGTCATCCAGTAAATACTAATACTGTTTCACTCACTGTGTGATACATCTAATAAACAAACTAATATGGAATTACTTACTACCACAGTGCCCAAGGTTCACGCATATATTAACATTAGAGCTTTACCCTAACTGATTTATATGTGAGACTTACCATGTGTAGTGTTAATTTCTTATATGTTGATTAGTGTAATAACCAAGAATCTTTTCAATTTATACAATTTATAGGACTATCAGCGACCATCCAATACTGATCTACTGACAAACACTCCTTATGATGATTCATGCTACAAAAGTGATATAAATTCTTCACGCTATAAGCATGAAAAAACTGATCATGGTCTATTTGACGTGAAAAATCAGATTTCAGTGGAAAGTGCTAAAAAGATGTTAAGTTCACGGAATTCTTCATCAAATCGTGCTTATTCTGCAGAAAAACAGAATAAATTATCTGCATATCATATCAAAGCACATACTGTACAACATGGTATACCAACAGGAAATTTACCAAATGGATCAACAATTGCAGCTAATATCCTGGTTCATCGACATCAACCAGTTAGTCATCAAGTAAATATTTTTTTACCTGTACTATTTTCAGCCTTATCACACTGAACTATGCGTTCTTTAGCATACATGAAAATTGCATGCCTTACTTTGCATTAACCCATATACCACTGCATACTACTGATTGTTTGAGATGAGTAGTTGCAGCACGCTGTCGATATCAACCAGTAGTGTTTGCTAGCTAGCCAGATTTGATTTATGGGATGACCAATTCGACCAAGTAGCCAGTCAGAAATCAGGTGGTTACAACTGATTCTCCCCTCTGAGATGAATCGAACCGGCTAGGTAAATCGCTGATGAGCTCAGCTCATAACGGGCGAAACTTTCGTCTGGTGTTTAGATCACCTCGACAGGGTTAGCTGATAAGTACTATTGCTTGATATGAGTGGTATGCTGCAACTACTTATATCAGCCAATCAGTAGTATATAGTTTTATGCAAATATTTTTGCCTCCTTGATCAAAATAACCTGGTTTCCAAGAGGAACTGCAGTGATATTCCGCCGCGCGAACTGTGTAGTTTGCAAATTGTGAATTTGATTTATGTATGTACTACTCATCATTCGAGTAAATCATTGATTTATTGATTGCCGAAAAAGTAATAAACGTCAGACTGCCTCGTTCTCTGCATTGGTGGAATTATATCAACACTTCCAGCTACCATCCTTGACGAAACAGCATCATAGTGTACTTTTGATTAATTTAAGACTATTGAAGGCAGGCGGTACAAAACTTTGGACCTAGACATTGAATTCCTCCAGTTTTCAATTAAGCCTTCCTATAAGTATTATCTGTCTTGATGATATTAGATGGTTGGAGACAATCGACAAGAAGAATTGGACCTAGGTTTCGCGCTAGTTGGCACTCGTCAGCAGGGAGTATCTGCATGAGTTCCTTCAAGGTTGCAAATAGGCCTTGCTGACGAGTGCCAGCTAGCACGAAACCTAGGTCGGATGACGCTTCCTGTCGATTGCCTCCAACTATCTAATATCATCAAATCAATGTGCACCGTAATGGCGAGCCACCTAGTGGCATGGTGGCCACATTACAAGCTTGACTGATAAAATTCAGTCTGCACTAGTTACCAGTGTCCAATCAATGTATTATCTTTCATATAACGTCGCACACTGAGTATGGTTTACAGTCAAAGACAAACCTTTACAACTTCACTGAGTTGTGTATTAGTGTTTGGAATATTCTAGTACCTTAAATGCTTTTAATATCTACATTTTTTTGTGGGTAGAGCTTTCAATATAACTTCTGGGTGTCATGTTTAGCCAGGTATCATAGTGAACATTCTTGTATATTAGATATGAAACAATAAAAAGGTTGATCAGCATGAAAGTTTCATTGGTGAACTGCTAATTAATTAGGCATGTGATTTGTCGATATTGCGCTATTAATATATGAATGTAGAATTCGGACACCATGGCAGAATATAATTCCCTACTAGATAAGTAGTATAAACTCCGGTTTGAGCTCTGGAGCCACTGAAAATTGAGGACTATTGGACATTCATGTTATTGTGACTGTAACGAAAATTAGAATCAAGACCATTAGTTATCGTAGCATTTCTCCACTTAGTCAAGATGTAACGTACAGTAGTGAGTTTTAGATAATTTTATTGTTTGGGGGATGTATTAACACCATTAACTATTGGTAATAAAACGAGAGCGTAAGATAAACAAGAAGGGATTTAAAACATCCACAGTTTTGCTGCATAAGGAAAAGACATCTGAAACCCTGCGTAGTAGTTTTAACAAAGTAGAATCTACGGCGGCACTAAAACCTACAAAACTATAGAGGCTAGAGGCCACACAGATCACTGAAGTAGACCGGAGTAAGCCGGATGATTGGAAAATAAGAATACAGCTAAGTATAAAATAATTGACCAACTCCTTAAAGGTAAGGAGGTAAGGAGGGGAAATCAATCGACATGGCTGTGAAATTACATCTACTGAGATGGTTAGGACATGTGTTACGTATGCCTAGTCATCGCCTTCCTCGACGGGCAATGTTAGCTGACATAGGGTCAGGCTGGAAAAGAGCTAACGGCGGTCAAACCAAACCATGGCACCAGTCAATGAAATCCACAACAGTTAGTTAAGCCAATCACGTAGGAAGGTGTAGACTTCCTAGTTGGGGTCCTCGAGACGGTAAAAACCAATGGAGGCTGGGGACAATTTGTGACATGGCTCAAAATCGTTCTCAGTGGCTGGTGCAGATGCATCCACTCCTTGTGACTTATGATTTCCAATGAAACTGTTTTGTTCTTCGTTATTACTATTCCTTTGTCTCACGCCTCTGTTTACTGTCTATATTATGAATTTCTTCTCTTGCTTTGTGTGCTACATGGAGTGTTGCGGCTGGAACTGCCGCACATCGGTGCAAAGTTCTATGTCGAACACAGACAGACAAACTAATACACGGACTTACACAAACAGTAAGGTAGCATAGAGCTACAGTTCTAAAAAGCAATGTAGTTAAGTGGAAGGAAAGGTTGATCACGCAGTCCTTGGTCATAGAATCTACAACAAGCTCATGCCGTAGGAATGATGCAACACCAATATAAGAATGAAATATACACAGATAGATATTAGTAAATTGATTGCCAGGGGTTGTTCCCCACCAGTTGACTCGTAACAACTCGTGTCAAATGACAGTGGAAAACTGGAATCATTCACGGAGCTCATTGTGTATACTGTGCATAAGGCTGATACAGTCACGAATCGATCGTCACATCTGCCAACACTCAGTGTCTAATATATATATGCATTTACATTCAGCGGTAGAACACCACGCCAACCACGCCTCACTTGGTCGGGGATTCGATCACCGGCTAGCGGACTCCTAAACCTCGCTACGCCGGTAAAGATGGAAGGTTAAGCGTGAGGCTGGCAACCCCACCCAGTGAAAAGCATCAAACGACTGCTATCGAAACTCCAAGAGTCTAGCTTGAAGCCCCATGTTCCACTCGGGGTGTAAACTGAATAAAAAGTAAAGACTAAGCAACCTTGTATCTGTTATGTAATGGTTTCAGCACCCACAAAATTACCTGAGTTTGTGCAACTTTCCAGTTATGTGAAGAATAAACTAGGCTGAAAATAATTGATTTTGTTTTGCTGAAACTCAATCTCAACATGGACTATACAGCAAGTCTGGGAAGAACTAGGCGGTGAATGTACCTTCATGCGTCGGTGGCACAGTGGTTAGGACTCTCGCCGACCATGCACGTGGTCTGAGGTCCGAACCCCTACCGACGCACACCCGATATCTATGGTCGGCCTGCAAAATTTTGGCTACCGATATCCACGCTGAAAATGTCATACTTGTACTGAAAATACGGTGTGGCATCAAGCTGTAATCAAAATAAAAAATAAATAAATAAAAAAATACTCCATCCCATAGATAAGATGGTAGGCCAACAGACGTTTGTTTGCATTAAGTTGGTGCAGCTGATTTCATTATACCTCGTTGTTATTAGGTAGTTGGAGGCAATCAGCACAAAGCCCTACCTGACCTAGATTTCGTGCTTATCGACAACCTTGAAGAGACTGATATCCCTTTTGAGATTTGAATTCGTGTCACCCAGTACTGCAGTCAAAGTTACCATTCGGGCTCGCCATTGTCCTCCTGAATGGACTCTGATTGGAGAGTAGTCGCCAGTAACTAGTTTCATGCGTCTAGTTCGATTAGCTCAATGATAAAGTCTCTGACGGCAGCACTAGATGACATGGGCTTGGATCTCAAGAGAGATATGAGAGTTCCTTCAAGATTCCAGATACGCCTCGCTGACGAGTGCCAAGAAGCACGAAACCTAGGTTGAAGACTTCTTGCCAATTCCACACACCCCAACCATCTAACAACGACATTTATCAGTGCACCGCTTTGTCGAGCCATCTAACATGGTGGCAACATTGCAAACTTGACTGGCGAAATTCAGTCTGCACCAAAAAAACGACTAGATGCATAACACAAGCTATTAACTACTACTCTCCAATCAAAGTCGGTCGGTTTTTGGATAGAGAACTTTGCCCATATGTGCGACAGTTCAAGTCGCCATACTTCACTCAGCACACACAAAGCAAAAGAAGAAAGTAGGAGAAATGCATAATATACACAGTAAACAGAGGTGTGAGATAAAGGTATAGTAATAACGAAGAACAAAACAGTTTCATTGGAAATCATAAGCCACAAGGAGTGGATGCATCTGCACCAGCCATTGAGAACGATTTTGAGCCATGTCACCAATTGTTTCCAACCATTGGTTTATACCGTCCCGAGGACCCCAACCAGTCAGGAAGTCTACACCTTCCTACGTGATTGGCTTAAACTAACTGTTGTGGATTTCATTGACTGATGAAGCCATGTTTTGGTTTGACCGCCACTGGCTCTTTTCCAACCTGACCCTCTATCAGCTAACATTGCTCGTCGAGGAAGGCGATGACTAGGCATACGTAACACATGTCCTAACCATCTCAGTCGATATAATTTCACAGTCTCGTCTATTGACTCCCCCTCCCCCTTACCTAGCACTCGACCTATGCCTAACCTCAATGTTGCTCACCTTATTATACCACTTCACACGGGAGATAGAACGCAGACACGTATGATCGAAGACAGCTAATCTTTTCATGTCTTCCACTCTCAATGGCCAGGTCTCACAGCCATAAAAGAGGACGGAGCGGACTGTTGATCGAATCAAAGTATTATTATATCTGTGCTCATCATGTTTGATAATTACTTATTATAATTTCAAACAATTATTTATTAACATTTCAGGTGATGACAAAGACTGCAGGAGTTAATTTCTCACGATGTCTACATCCTCCTCCCCCTCCTGCTCACCATCATCAGCAGCAACATTCATCTACACCACGGCTATGTTCTGACTCATATTCACATAAACATGTCTGATCTTAATCAATTGATTGATTTAATATGTTAATTTATCATTATTTCTAATCTTTGATGAATACATATTTGTGTAGTGCAGTATTTTCTTACATATCTTTACAAATACGTTTCTGCATATTTGAAATGTATTCACAATAATATTCTTCTTCTTTTCACAGTTTATTTCTATTTCTCTTTTCTAAAATAATCACTCAAACGTATACAATGTAATACTTCTTTTAAATAATAAAATTCATTGAGATTAATTTTCAATTTTTGAAAAAGTTAATTAAAAAACCAAACGTCAACGCTAATAAATCTAGATAACAGGTTGATATGTGACTATCAAAATAGATCACTGAGTATCCAGTACAATCCTATAGGAGGTCAATCGCCAGCTCATTGGTGGTGACGTCTCTGACTGCAGCATTAGGTGACACGGTTTCGAATATCAGAAAGGGAATGAGTTCCTCAAAGACTGCAAGCATGCCTTGCTGATTGATGAGTGCCGCCAAGCGCGAAACCTAGATCAGGTAGGGTTTCCTATGGCCCATTGCCTCCAGCCATATAACATCAACACTTCACGGTGGACTGTGATGACGAGCCACCTAACATGGTGGCTCCATTAAAAACCTGACTGAGAGAATTCAGTCTGGACCAAAAGATAGGGAATGAAGTCGTTGATGGAGTTGCATCAGCCAGTTCCAACGTGTTGATCGCTGAAGAAATCTCACCACGGATACAGAAGGCTTGCTTGGCATGAGCCAACTCAAGCCATCGCTGGCTTAGTAGTAAACGTGATATGCGGCTGGTTACCAACCAAAGGACCTTTGTACTGCTCAATAGTTCGCTCTGTCCTCCTTGATGACTAGCTGTGACACATGGCCATTGAAAGTGAAGATACGAAAAGGCTAGTTGTCTGCATTCTATCTCCTGTGTCAAGTGGTATAATATAGTGAGCAATATTGAGGTTAGGCATCGGTCGAGTGCTAGGTAAGGAGAAGAAATCAATCGACCAGGCTGTGAAGCTACATGGATTGAGATGACTAGGATATGTGTTACGCATTGTCCGACTGGCAATGTCAGCTGACTGACATAGGATCAGGCTGGGATAGAGGTGATGGTGGTCAAACCAAAACATTTACAGTTAGTTTGAGCCAGCCACATAGGGAAGTGTATACTGTGTGGCTGGTTGGGGTCCTCAGGATTCTAAGAACCAATGACAGCTGGAGACACTTGGTGATATGGTTCGAAATCATTCTCAATGGTTGGCTGGGTGGCGTAGATGCATCCACTCCTTGTGATTTTTTTAATATCCAATAAAATTCTATTGTTCTTCCATATCACTATTCTTTTTGCCTCATATTTCTGTTTATAATCTCTCTCTTGCTTTGTGGGCTACTGGAGTGTGGTAATTCGAACTGGTGCACTTCTACGCAAAGTTCCATGTTGAAACTCAGTTAGTTAGTCAGTCGATCAGGCTACATCATCACTGACAACGGTCACCCACAAAAGTTCATCGACAAGTGTGGGAGATGTCATGTTGAAAAAGTGAAAAGCAGCACAGTAGAGAAAAAGCCTATCTTTCTGCAGCTTGCATTCAAAGCTGATGATACTGCTGGTAGAATAAGATGCAGACTGAACGCTACCCGGAAAAGAACATATCCAGCCGCCAAGCTTGTATATGTTTATCTAGGGACTAGTTGTTTGAGACAATCAAAATTGGACAAATACCCACCTCATGTTACCTCCAACTGTGTCTACCAATTTACATGTAAGTGTCAAAGCACATACATCGGAAGAACAGAGAGAAGGCTTATTACCCGCATTTATGAACACATACCAAAGAACCTGAGACTGAAAGGTCCGCAAGCATTAAACAGTGTGATTGCGCGTCATCTATTAGACAGTGGTCATATTGTAGACAACCTGAAGTCGTTCAAAATAATCAGCAAGCAAAAGAAACCTAGCTTGTTACGCTATGCTGAGGCAATCGTCATCAAACGACTTAAACCAAATCTATGTCTATCTGTCTGTTTTCGACATAGAACTTTGCACATACATGCGGCAGTTCGAGTCGCCACACTTCACTCAGGACACAAAGCAAGAGAAGAAAGTAGGAGAAATGCATAATATACACAGTAAACACAGGTGTGAGACAAAGGAATAGTAATAACGAAGAACAAAACAGTTTCATTGGAAATCATAAGTCACAAGGAGTGGATGCATCTGCACCAGCCACTGAGAACGATTTTGAGCCATGTCACAAATTGTCCCCAGCCTCCATTGGTTTTTACCATCCCGAGGACCCCAACCAGTCAGGAGGTCTACACCTTCCTACGTGGCTTAGACTAACTGTTGAAAATTTCATTGACTGGTGCCATGGTTTGGTTTGACCACCGTTAGCTCTTTTCCTGCCTGACCCTATATCAACTAACATTGCCCGTCGAGGAAGGCGATGGCTAGGCATACGTAGCACATGTCCTAACCATCTCAGTCGATGTAATTTTACAGCCTCGTCGATTGATTTCCCCTCCTTAACTAGCACTCGACCGATGCCTAACCTCAATATTGCTCATCTTATTATACCATCTAATACGGGAGATAGAACGCAGACACCTATGATCAAAGACAGGTAACCAGGCTTGTCATGTCTTCCACTTTCAATGGCTAGGTCTCACAGCTAGTCATAAAGAAGGAGGGAGCGGACTGATGAGCAGTACACACGCCCTTTGGTCGATAGTCGGATATCACGTCTACGCCAGAGACGGCGTAAACTGGCATATGCGAAACTAGTCCTCTGTATTCGTACTGAGATTTCGTCAGAGATCAACCCGTTGGGTCTGATTGTACTTCTCAAAAAAGTGAAGCGGTCAACGTGCTCTACCGCTTCAGTTCCTATTTCTAATCTAGGGGTGGGTGTAGTCCAATCCTGCAACATCATCTTACATTTTACAGGGGCGAATCGCATGCTAAACATTCGTAGATTGCAGCTTTGGCAGATGTTCAGAAGACTCTGAATTTTGTCAGCGTCCTCGCCTAGAAGGACTATATCGTCTGCATATTCTAAGTCAACGAGATTATTCCCTGGTAGCAAGTCAATGCTTGAGTCGCTGAAGTGAGTTAGGGTAATTAAACAAAGATTGTCATTTATTAAATTTTCAATCAATGACTTATAATTTTTAGTTTCTCATTTTAATATAAAATAGATACAATTCTGTAAGGTAGTTTTTTGAAGAGAAAAACTGAAAAAAATATTTACAAAAACAAAAGGAGCTTTCTCCGCATAGTTTTATCATTCATCAAATATAATATGCTTTGAGTCATTTTTAATCAAAGGTGTGCAAAATGTAGAAGACACCAGTGTAGGCGGCTTATTTTGTTGTGACTTTTGTTTTTGACGTTTTTTCGCCTGTGAAATTCGATGTCGTTCGGCGGCGGTAACTTTCGATTTGACAATACTTTCACAATAAGCTTGTTCACTAGGACCTTCTAGAATACGTGTCATCACTACTCCCTGTAACTTTGAAGAATGAAGACATTGAAGTAATTTCTCTGCAGCTTCAGCACTTTTCATACGAATGAACAGAGGATATAATTCATCATTATCTGACGGTGATGATGATGATGCATTTACATTAGGATTGATACAGATACAAGAACCAAACTGATTGACACTGTCTAGTAAACTTTGATCAGGACTGGGATCAACATGAGCAACAAAGCGTAAGAGATCATTTGGGACAAGAAGATTCTTCTCGAGGCTAACACGTAAACATCGAGCAAAAGATAATCGTTTCGGGGCTAATAATGAATCGTCACATAAGGTATCATTGAATGTCTCCTGTGTTTTATGCCCAGTCGATACTAAATTTGATGGCCAGTATATCTATAAAGAAAAAAGGAATATGAATATATATATATTTCAATAAACAAGTAGATGACAAAAAGAACCTTATTCAATGCATGAAAAGGCTGGCTAGCTGTCTTTGATCATAGGTGCCTGCGTTCTATCTCCCGTGTGAAATAGTATAATAAGGTGAGCAATATTGAGGTTAGGCGCCGAGTGAGTGCTAGGTAAGGGGGAGGGGGAATCAATAGACGAGTTTGTTAAGATACACCGACAGAGATGGTTAGGACATGTGGTACGCATGCCTAGCCATCACCTTTCTCGGCGGGCAATTTTTGCTGACAAAGGATCAGGTTGGAAAAGAGCCAGCGGTGGTCAAACCAAAACATGGCTTCATCAGTCAATAAAAACCACAACAGTTAGTTTAAGCCAATGACGTAAAAAGATGTAGATTTCCTGGTTGGGGTCCTCTGGACGGTAAACACCAATGGCTGGAGACAATCGGTGGCTGGTGCAGATGCATCCACTCTTTGTGACTTACAATTTCCAATGGAACTATATCGTTCTTCGTTATTACTATTCCATTTGTCTCATATCCCTTGTCTACTGTCTATATTTTGCATTTGTTTTTACTTTCTTCTTTGGCTTGTATGCTGAGTGAAGTGTGGCGACTGGAACTGCTGCAAATCGGTGCAAAGTTCCTTGTTGAAACCATTCAGTCAGTCAGTATTCAATGGAGTTCATTCACTTAAGCGTAGTACATTATCAAAGTTAAAAGAATAAGCATGGTAGCAAAATATATCATCTTAGAAATTTAAGATAGATGCATATTTTCAAGTATTACTTCTGTAGGGATTTGATTTGTTACAAGTTTGATCACGGATTGATATCAGTTAGAGAACGATTGAAAACCAGCTGGGAATACACGAGAGCTGTTTCACCCTTCTACTTTGAGACTAATCAGAAGTACGCACCCACCAAGGTTCGAACCCAGCTCCTACCTAGATCAGGTAGGGCTTCCTGTCGATTACCTCTAGCCATATAACATCAACACTTCATGGTGGACTTTGATGGTGAACCACCTAACATGGTGGCCACATTGCAAACTTGACTGATAGAATTCAGTCTGCAGTAAACAAAGGACTAGACACATTACACTAATTACTAATGTCCAACCAACATTCTAATTTCTTGGTTGGAGGATTTCATCATGAGCTGACATCAGTTAAAGAACCATTGGAAAACCTGCCAAGGAGTACTGGACAGCTGTTTCGTCCTAGTTTGGGACTCTGCTTCAGCAGTACACACCCACCACCAGGTTACGAACCCAGGACCTTCCGGTTACAAGACAAGCTAGCTCGTAGACCGTTGAGCCACTAGGGGCCAATTCAATGGCCCGTCAATTCTAACTTCTGCCAATTCATGACATAGCGCGGCCCTTTCGCAATGTCTTCTTCGATGAGTTACTGCCTCACGTTCAACCTGCTGCAATGGCCAGTAGAGTGCAGCAGGTGGTCGCGCTATGTCATGAATTGGCAGAAGTTACAACTCATGGGCTGGCCATTGGATCGGGTCCCAGATACTTATGGTCTACGAGCTCGCCTTGAAACCAAAGGGTCCCGGGTTCGAACCGTAGCGGTGGGTGCGTACTGCTGAAGAGCTCCAAACTCGGACGGAAGAAACAGCTGTCCAGTACTTCCTCCTAGGTTTTCCAATGGTTCTCTAACTGATGTCAGCTCATGAGGAAATCCTCCAACCAACCAAACTGAATCCCTACAAAACCAACGCTTGAAAATTCTAATTTCTACCGATTTGTGATTTAGCATTACATTTCCATACAGATTTTTAAAAAAACACTTTATCATCTTTCCACTAGTTTTATCCATTCTATGCGATTAAATTGATTAGTCATTTTTCACAGTTATTACGTCATCTCAACTTCTGCTCCGCTTTTCTTTCTAACTTCCAACTAGTCATCCCCTTCTAGATTACACCTTACCTCCTTATGTAATACATTTTCTAAGACAAATTTTACCAGTATCTGATTGGTCTTATGAATTCATTTAATAAATATAATTACGAGTTGATCACGGATTCTGATATCAGTTAGAGAAGCATTGAAAACCAGCCACAGGGAGTACTGGACAGCTGTTTTCAACCTAGTTTGGGAATCGTCGACAGTACGCACCCACTGCCAGAGTTCGAACCCAGGACCTTCCGGTTACAAGGCCAGCCAGCTCGTATACTATTCAGCCACTGGGACCCGATTTAATAGCTCATAAATTCTATAGAAAATATAATTACGATTGTGCGTGTAGCTTATGGGAATGAATCGTCGAAAAGAAAATTTCTTCGCTGTTTACGTCTTCTTTTTCTTATGACCCAATATTATGTCATATATGTCCAAACCAAGTTCACTTTTAACAGATTGAAAAAATTTGGGCATTGCGTATATGTTATTCATTATAATAAAGGTTTTTGTATTGCCCAATGAATGAAAAACAAAACGATATTGTTTTTACTGACATTTCGCTATTTAATGCTAATAGCTTTATCAAAGTATTATTAAACCGGAATTTACAAAATCTCAGCATATGCATAACAAAGAGTTAAGAGGTGAGAAATTAGACTTAGGTCAAGTTAAAGGGACTGATTGAAAGTCAAAATAACAATGAAGATCACTAAACCAAATAACAAAGGTAATAGTACGTCTGTTATGATATCGAAATAAAGTTTACTAACTTGATCATCGTTCGTCTGTCTGAGGGCATTTTTTCGTTGTCAAGTTGGCCAATTGGTAAAGATAACAAAACCAGATGTAGATTGTTGGATTTTATCACTGTTTAAAATTATAAAAGCAGTGTGTGTTTACACAATGAAATTGCTTATCACATTCGTGTTGATTTTGTCACTTCATGCGGGAGGGAGGTGTTGTAGCGAGGTCAAATTCTGTTTTAGTCCATCATTCAGACTATTCAGGCAATTTGGATTCCACTTGATATGAAGCGCTTCTGATATTAGACGTTCTTTGTGATTTCTGAAGTTTTTCTGGATTGTTTCAATATTGTCAAAATCAATTTTGTGACCTGATTCTATAGAGTGTAGACCTATGACTGATGATATTTCAAGTTTTTGTAGTTCAACGGTATTTCTCTGTGGTCGAAGAGATGCTCTACAGTGTTCATTTCTTCTGATTTTGATTTCTCGAAATGTTTGTCCAATGTATATCGCATCACATTCCAAGCATTTTATTTTATAGACAGAATTAGATAAAGAATCTTTAGGGATTTGGTCTTTTATATGGACAAGGTTGCCTTGAAGTGTGCCTGATGTTTTGAAGAAAACTGTAATGTCGAGCTGATTGAGTACTCTTCTGATATAATCTGACGTTTCTGCTCTATATGGAATGATGACTGTTGATGTCCATGTTTTCGGAATGTGTTTTCGGCCATACTTAATGTCTGTGTTGATTCTGTTGATGAAGTTCCATGGGTAGTTGTTTTGCTTGAGAGTCTCAGTAATGTTTGATATTTCTTCTTCTTTTTCTTTTTCGTCGGTTATCAGAGAGTGGGCTCATCTAAGAAGACTTGAAACAACTGAAATCTTTGCGCTGATGGGGTGTAATGACTTGAAGTCTAAATATTTGTTTGAGTGGGTTTTCTTCCTGAATATGGATATACTAAAATGTCCGTTTTCCTTTCTCTTAACTAGGCAGTCTAGAAATGATAGTTCACCGACGTCTGATTCTGCTTCCGAAGTGATCTGGATTCTGGGAGATACACAGTTTATTTTCTCCAGGAATGAATTGTGTAGATCTCGTTTTAGTACTACAAAGGTATCATCTACATATCTTAACCATATTTTAGGAGTGAGTATTCTTGAAAAGATGTTATTTTCGAATTTATTCACTGTTATATACATGCTGAGATTTTGTAAATTCTGGTTTATTAATACTTTGATAAAGCTATTAGCAGCAGCATTAAATAGCGAAACGTCAGTAAAAACAATATCGTTTTGCTCTTTCTCATTCACTGGGAAATACAAAAACCTTTATTATAATCAATATTCTGCCAATTAAATCAACTGTAATTTTATGCTCAACAATATAGAATACTTTATTTTTAACTGAAAGGCAAAATCAGTAGAAAAACTAGTGTTTTTTTAAAAAAATATATATACCTTAACTCACCTGTACAACCGACTTGAGGACATAATCTTTTGGAAGTGATTTCGGCTTAGACAATGTTTGGGTCTGGAGTGAAGATTCGGATATTTCAGCATCTACTACTGCTCCTACTGCTGCATCACAAGATACTTCTTTCTCTTCCATACTTTCATCATGATCATTATTCATGTGATCATTTCCCTGGAATAATTCACTCGTTTTACGACGCATTCTTGCAATCCAGGCTTGTTGCCATAAGTAGAATTTCTCTTTCCAAAATATCCAATCGGCATAACGAAAAACGCGTAGTTTCGACCGAGACGGTTCACTATGACTATTATTATCTCTGACATAATTTAATATAGATTCTGTAGAACTATCTCCGAGTATAATGGAATAATCTAGGTGGAACAAAGATAGAGTGATGAATGCACAATGGGAAAGGAGACATAACACATACAACAATGTTTGAAATACTTCAGTTAAGAGAGCTGAGTACAATTGACTGTTTTTTTTATGAATAACAGTCGAAATCGGATAAATCTTAAAAGGAATTCTTTTTATCCTTTTACGTTCCCAGTGGAACATAGGGCGCTTTCAAGCTAGAGCCAGCTTGAAGTTTCGTTAGCACTGGTGTTTAATTTTACGGGATGGGATTGCTAGCCTCATACCCAACCTCCCCCCTTTACCAGTCTTATTACTGGCTTAGAAAGGTAAAGGAGTACATCTGCCGGGAGTCGAACTCCGGACCACATGCGTGATCCAGTACTTATTACTTACAAGTATTGGTCATTACACTGCTTAACAATATCCCAGCTTGGAAAACTGATACGATAGTGTAATCAAGTGAAATTCTCGACATCGCTAGCGACTGCATAAATTATAGCTCACCAATTAAAGTGAGGTATCTATAACTTCAAGCTCAACGCTTCAAACTCTGCCGATGTCTCATAGGCCGCTAACAGCAAAATTACTCCCCCATTTCGGTATAGGGGAGGGCTACATAAATCAATGAAACAGCTGACTGACACTCACTGGGTTTCAACATAGAACTTTGCACAGAAGAAGTACAACAATTCAAGTTGCCACACTTCATACAGCAGATAAAGGTAGACAAAAGAGACAGAAGAAGTGATTCAAGAGAACTACGATAAGCAGAAATGTGAGGGAGAAACAATAGGGTTCTAATGAATATGAGAAATCACAAAGTATGATCGCATCTGCGCCAGTCATTGACAACGATTTACAGCCGTTTGTTCTTAGCATTCCGAGGACCCCAAACAGCCACACAGTCTACACCTCCCTACGTGGCTGGCTAAAACTATGTGTCAACGATTTCAAGGACTGATGCGAAGTCTTGGTTTGACAACTACTGGCTCCTTTGCAATCTGACCTTATATCAGCTAATATTTCCCGTCGAGGAAGGCTATGGCTAGGCACGCATAACACATGTCATAGACATCTCGATAGATGTAAATTTATAACTTCGTCGACTGATTCCCCCCCCCCCCGTCAGCGCCTAACCTGAATAGTGCTCACCTTATTACACCACTTCACACGGGAGACAGAATGCGGACACCTATGAGCAAAGACAGCTAGCCTTTTCACGTCTTCCACTTTCAATGGCCATGTCTCGCTCACAGCCATAAAGGAGGACAGAGCGAACTATTGAGCAGTACATAGGTCCTTTGGTTGATTACCAACGGGATATCACGTCTACTAAGCCAGAGATGGAGTAAGTTGACATATGCCGAACGAACCTTCTGTATCCGTGCTCAGATTTTGTCAGTGATCAACCCGTTGGGGCTGGCTGATGCAACGCCCCCGCCCACATAAGTGAAGTAAGTGGTCAACACGCTCCATCAACCACTTCAATCCCTATCTTTAAGATAAAAGTCAATGTAGTCCAGTCCCGTAGCATCATCTTACATTTGAAGGGAGCCAAGCGCATGCCAAACATTCGCAGATTGCAGCTCAAGGTTTTCAGAAGACTCTGCACTTTGTCACTTTCTTCATCCAGGTGGGAGGACTATATTATCCACATTATCTACGTCAATGAGATTATTCCCTGGTGGCAATAAGTCAATCCCTGAGTCGCTGAAATCAGTCAGGGTTAAGTCCGTTAGTACATATCTGATAAAATTAAACAGAAATGGGGATAGTGGGCATCCCTGACGGACAACACTGGTCGACATCACTTCAGATGACAACTCGCCACAACCTCTTAGACAGCTGCGTGAGTTCCAGTAGAGGGTCTTGATCAGTACAATGCGCTTTCTCGTCACTTCCTTCACAGCAAAACATTGTTATAGTTCCTTTCAGTCGACGGAGTCAAGTTTCGCCTTCAGGTCAAGATATATGACGATTGTTAGACGCCGGTAAGTATGCCTATGTTCCAGAATCTGTCGAAGAGTGAAGATATGATCAATACACCCTCTATCTGGTCTCCTCATGTTTGTTTCTCTTGAGCACCACTTAATCTACACATGATTACTGAGCCTAAAACTTTAGACCCTGTATTAGAAATGAAACTAAAACGGATGAAACAATATTAATCAATCAACTGCTCTTATAAAAAAAATTACAAAATATCATAAAATTAACACTTACATTCTTTATCGCATGGATTAACAGCTGTGTATCCAGCTTGACGCAAATGTTTGAAAGCTGCTATCAGCTGTTTATTCTTTCGGGAACAACAACGCCAAACATATCGTCTAGCAAGCATTTGCTCAAATGAAAAGGAAGCTTTAGCTGCAAGTCGTGGTTTCCATGCAGATGTAGGACATTCCGATGATTCAGACGCTTCTAATGAACGTATCAAATGAATGATGGAAAAAAAAACATCAAGATCACTTTTTATTTGATATAAGAAACATACACCACTAACAGTAAAAATAAACGGTGTTCAGTAGGTTGGGAGTGAGGACAAATACTCGCCGCTGATGACATTAGCTGGCAGTGGTCGCACTGAAATTACTAGTGGGTAGAAGTTAGACAGGGACACCCTGGACCGACGCGAAGAATCTAGAAGACCTGGATTTCGCGCGTGGATGATTTATGTTTGATGTCACACAAAATCGAAGACTTACAAGCGAAAACCGACAAACTGGTCGAAGAAGCAGCAAAGACAGGACTCCAGGTGAACATAGACAAGACGGAGGTTATGAAAATAACCAACCAACAACAACAACAGCAGCAACATCCGGCGCCGATCATCATCAACGGGAGGGATTAGAAAGAGGTTACATCATTCACTTATCTAGGGAGCATTGTCTCAACTACAGCAGGAACGGACGAGCATGTCAAATCGAGAATCGGGAAGGCGAGAAACACATTCATCAACGTGAAACCGACCTGGAAATTTTCGTCACTCAGCATCAACAACGAAATTCGGATTTTCAATACAAACGTCAATTCAGTCAGTTCTTCTATACGGATCAGATCAGAAACTTGGCGGGTCACAAAGAATATTTCTAACAGCCTGTTGCAGACCTTTATCAACAGCTGTCTTCGTTCTATACTCAAGATCAGATGGCTGGAAAGAATCACCAACAAGAAACTATGAAAAACAAGCAAAACAAGAACCAATCGCTCAACAAATATGCAGGAGAAAGTGGAGATGGATTGGACACTCGCTGAGGAGGCCACTGGGTGACATCGAGCATCAGGCCATCGCTCGAGTGAAACCCGAAAGGGAAGCGGCGAGTGGGACGTCCAAGGGTGATATGGAGGAGATCGTGTGAAGAGGAATTGAAACAGTACGGATTAACATGGACGCAGGTGAAAAGTACAGCAGAAGACAGAAGCAAGTGGAGACGTGCAGTTGAAGCCCTATGTTCCACTAGGAACCCAAGGGAACAATAATAATAATAATAATATAGAATTTAGAATTCATGGATTATTGAGTTTTGGCCCAAGTGACTGGATGGTCTACGAACTTGCCTCCTAACCGGAACAACCAGGGTTCGAACCCTGAAGATGAGTGCGTACTGCCAATGAGTCCCGAACTAGGACGAGACGACTGTCCAGCACTCCCAGCTTGTTTTTCAATGGTTCTGTAACTGATATCAATTCGTGGTCAAACTAGGGATGGATCAAATCCCTGCAAACTAACCTTAAAAAAGAAAACATTCTATTTTGACCGGTCAGAAACGACCTCAAATTTCATACAGCCAGTCATTTATAATAGACATATACCAAACATTACGATTCTCTTAAGATCGTAGACACATCCTCTTCAAAGATTTGGACAGAAGTTCGACTAAATTAATTACGAAAGACAAATACTTCATTAAAAAACAAAGAATTTTCGCATTAGGCTGTATACTACTGATTGATTGGGTGAGTAGTTGCAGCATACCATCCATATCAAACAGTAGTGCTTGTCAGCTAGTCAGTTCGAGATGGTCGAAACATCGGACGGCTGCTTCCCCCGTCTAGAGAAGATTTCATTAGCGGTGTATACCCAGTTTGACTCAGTTCAGTTCAGACAGTCAAATCAGTTCAAACGACTTGACTACTTGCTGGTCAGCCTACTTAGTCGAACTGGTTGACATGAGTGGTATGCGACTACTCATCTCAATTATTGAGTAGTATATATAGTTTTATGCAAATATGCTTACTTTCTTGATTACCACCATTTATAGTCCCAAGCAGATCACATATTATGATAAGTAAGATGAAGTTTTATCACTCGAACTGTGTACACTGCTAAATGGCTAATCAATTTGTAAATTGAGAATTTGGTTTCACAAATTTTAAGCATCAAATTTTACGGCTAAATGCTTCCTACAGTCTATGACAATGGAAATAAATTTACAGTGTTTTATCTGCATAAACACATGCATTGATATCTCTTTCATCTGGATGAGGAGAAACAGTCAAAAACAAGAATTCATAAATGACCGACACATTTCAGTTGGTAATGTTTCTTGGGAAAATACAGTAATAATGATATTAAACTGTATCGCTCACTAATTCAGGGTGCCTTTTAAAAGAGTGAAGAATGAATCCTAAAGCGTTATCATCAAATTGAAAATGTCAAAGATATATTCCAACTGATTTATGTCCAAACCAAGTTCACTTTTAACTGTTTGAAAAAATCTGGGCATTGGGTATATGGATAGATATTCATTATACAACCTATCTCTCAGAATCCAGTTTACTTCAGAAGCATGCAGAATCAGACGTCGATGAACTGCCATTTCTAGACTGCCTGGCTAGTTAAGAGGACGGAAAACGGACACTTTAGTATATTTATATTCAGGAAAAACCAGCGACTCCAATAAATATTTAGACTTCGGATGATCACACCCCGTCAGTGCAAAGTTATCAGTTGTTTCAAGTCTTCTTAAACGAGCACACTCTTTGATGTTAACGGATGAGAAGGAAAAACAAGAAGAAATATCAAACATTACTGAGACTCTCAAGCAAAACAACTACCCGAAAAACTTCATCAACAAAATCAACAATGACAGTAAGCATGGTCGAAAACGTGTTCCGAAAACATGGACCTCAACAGTTGTCATTCCATATAGAGCGAAGACGTCAAACGATATCAGGAGAGTACTCAATAAGCTCAACATAAGACACACTGCGAAACAACCTTATCCATATAAAAGACCAAATCCCTAAAGACTCTCTGTCTAGTTGTGTCTATAAAATAAAATGCTTGGATTGCGGTGCAATATACATCGGGAGAAATCAAAATCAGAAGAAATGAACACCGTAGAGTCGACTCTGTTCGACCACTGAGAAAGCCAGTTAGTGAACTAGAAAAGCTTTAAAAATCATCAGCCGTAGGTCAACACACTATAGAATCAGGTCACAAAATTGATTCTAACAGTATTGAAATAATCCAGAAAAGCATTTCAGAAATCACAAAGAACGTCTCATATCATCAGAAGCACTTCATATCAAGTGGAATCCAAATTGTCTGAATAGTCTGAATGATGGACTAAAACAGAATCTGACCTGGTTACAACACCCCGTGCCGTTTCCCATGAAATGACAAAGTCAACACGAGTGTGATAAGCAATTTCATTATGTAAACACATGCTGCTTTTACAATTTTACACACTTATCAAATCCAACAATCTACACCTGGTTTCGTTATCTCTACCAACTGGCCAACTTGACAAAGTGAAAATGACCTCATGCTGAGGAACGATGATCAAGTTGTTGTATATACATGCTGAGATTTTGTAAATTCTGGTTTAATAATACTGCTTTGATAAAGCTATTAGCAGTAGCATTAAATAGCGAAACGTCAGTAAAAGCAACGATATCGTTTTGCTCTTTTTCATTCATTGGGAAATACAAGAAAACAACCTTTATTATAATGAATATCCCAACTGAATTAGATGAACTTGCACTATGTTACATAATATGAGTATAAAAGTATAAAATCAGTATATTACAACAAGGCAAACATCTTTTTGTGCTCCATTTGTTTCTGGAGCCATTAAGGAATATGCTCTGCAGCCCTTACTTGCAGAGATCGATGAGTCCTCCCTATATATGTGTGTCCACACGTACATTTAAATTGGTAAATACACTAGGATGTGACGTCATTTTTCGCATGTTCGAAGGGCTTAGATAGATATATTGGCTTTAAATTCTCGATTATTATGATATTGGCTGCATAAAAAGTCTTTTTGACAGCAGCGTTCAGTCTTTGTCTAGTTATCAAGCTGCTTTGATGCCCCATATAGGGTAGCTTGATGTACACGTCTTTCTTAGGGGCGTGTTGGAGAGTGGGTCTTGGTGTTCTGACGACAGTAATACTAATATTATGAATAAGAATATGTACTCTTTTGGTGTAAACTCGTTATTCGCTAATGTGCCTTCGCTCAAAACAGTTGACTTTTTGTGTGATTATATTTCCACAAACAATTTTTTCATCCCGTTCCCTATATCTTATTTAAGGGATTTATTACTTCTATGTACTAACAATGTTAGGTTTACATTTGAAGGCGATTGTTTCCGCCAAGTTGATGGTGTTGCTATGGGAAGTCTGTTAGGGCCCCTTTCCGCAGATATTTATGGGTCGTACGTTGAGAATTTATCGGAGGATTTAATCGAAAATGTGCCACTTTATAGAAGGTATGTAGATGATATTGTAATCATCAGTGATAAGTCTTATTCTGCCACCTCAATTTTAAATCGAATGAATGAAGTTCAGAATAGCATATCACTTAGATCTGTAGAAGAGGAAGATAATTGTTTATCTTTCCGAGATATATTGCTTAGTCGACGGTTTGATGGTTCAATAAAAAGATCTATTTATAGAAAACCTACCTGGACAGGACAGTATCTTAATAACCACAGTTTCTGCCTTGTTCGGTACAAAAGAGCCTTAGTAAGGTGCCTCTTCAGTAGAATCCAACGAATGCGCACTGAAGACACACTTGATGAAGAAGAAAGAAAGTTGACACAAACTCTGGTTGATAACAATTATCCAGACAAGTTCATCAGGAGATATAAAGTAGTCAGAACACCAAGACCCACTCTCCAACACGCCCCTAAGAAAGACGTGTACATCAAGCTACCCTATATGGGGCATCAAAGCAGCTTGATAACTAGACAAAGACTGAACGCTGCTGTCAAAAAGACTTTTTATGCAGCCAATATCATAATAATCGAGAATTTAAAGCCAATATATCTATCTAAGCCCTTCGAACATGCGAAAAATGACGTCACATCCTAGTGTATTTACCAATTTAAATGTACGTGTGGACACACATATATAGGGAGGACTCATCGATCTCTGCAAGTAAGGGCTGCAGAGCATATTCCTAAAGGGCTCCAAAAAAATGGAATCTTCAGAACCTATTAACGGTGGGAACAGGAGACCTAGCTCTTCTATTGCGAAACATATTACAGAGACAGAACATAAAATTGACGTTAACAGATCTTTTATACCTATCTTTTTGTGTGTCCTGTATTACCTAGATAGGTAAGTTATATGAAAAAAACACTAGTAGGGTGACGTGAAATGTAAATTAAATTACCTGTTGGCTTTACAAGCCATTGTTCATTTTCAATTGTAGAATTTATGTGTTTAACAGCTTTCCTGGCAGATTTAGATGTTTTAAATTCAACAAATGCAAATCCACGAAATGAATCAGAATTATGATAGCTGGAATTTAACAAAGTATACAGATCGATATAGAACTAAAAGGAATTCAATTTTGTACAGGATATTAACGACTACACAAGATGCTTAACTATAGATAAATTTAGTGATAATGTAACTCGCCGAGTTGATGATAAAGGTTTATGTAGTAGACTATGAGCCAATAAACTGCACAGCGTTCGACAAAACAGTGACATATATATAAAGACACATTCACTGAAAATAATATAATTCCTCCTCTACTGAGGTTTTTTTCGTCGATGGCACAACGGTAGAATGCTCGCCGATCATGCGTATGGTCCAGGGGGTTTCCATCCCCGACCAAGGACGTACTCCTTTACCTCGCTAACTCAGTAATAAGACTGATAAAGAGGGAATGTTGGGTATGAAGCTAGCAACGCCATCCCGTAAAAATCATAAGCACCACTGCTATCGAAACTTCAAGCTGGCTCTAGCTTGAAGGCGCCCTATGTTCCACTGGTAACGTAAATGAATAAATAAATAAAAACTGAGTTTTTTCATACACACTTTCATAATCTAAACAAACAAATATAAACCTAACCGAATGTTTTAACGTTTTTTTTCCTTCACGTTCTCCAGTGGAACATAGGGCTTCAAGCTAGTGGCTTGAAGTTTCTGTAGCAGTGTTTATTTTACAGGATGGGGTTGCTAGCCTCATGCGAGCATTCTACCGCTGTGCCACCGACGTACAATCGATGTTTTAACGTAGAACATGAAAACTAGTTGAATTACAATAGTGTACAACATTGTATCAGAACATGTTGATGAAGACGTTTGCATACACAAAAGGCAAAGTGTGATTTGCGACCTAAAGACAGCAATCATTTCCACCGACTGAGAGGTGTTCGGCTGAAAATAGAATGTTGAGAAAGTATATTATGCTAACCAAAACACTCTACTTGAATTTATGTAGTTACGCATAGACTGACTGACTGGTTTCAATATAGAACTGTGCACAGATATGCAGCAGCTCGAGTCGCCACACTCCATGTAGCACACAAAGCAAGAGAAATAAAAAATAAATTCGAAATAGAGACAGTAAAAAGAGATATGAGGCAAAAAGAATAGTAATATCGAGGGACAATAGAATTTTATTGAATATTATAAACGCAAAGAGTGAATGCATCTACGCCAGCCATTGAGAACGATCTTGAGCCATATCAAAGATTGTTTCTAACCATTGGTGTTTCCCGCCTCAAGGAACCTACCCAGGAAGTCTACACCTTCCTACATGGTTTAAAAGAACTGTTGTGGACTTCATTGACTGACCATCACTGGCTCTTTTCCAACCCGATCGTGTGTCATCTAACATTGGATATGACTAGTCATGCGTAACACATATCCTAGTCATCTCAATCGATGTAACTTCACAGCCTCGTCAATTAATTTCCCCTCTTTACCTAGCACTCGATCGATGCCCAACCTCAATATTGCTCACCCTATTATACCACTTTACATGGGAGATAGAACGCAGGCACCTATGATCAAAGACAGACAGCTAACCTTTTCATGTCCTCCACTCTTAATGGCTAGGTTTCACAGCCAGTCGTAATAGAGGAGGGAGAGGATGGCTGAGCAGTATACATGCCCTTTGGTCGATAGCCGGATATCACGTCTACTACTAAGCCAGATATGGAGTAAGTTGACATGCCAAACGAGCCTTCTGTATCCGTGATGAGACTCCATCAGCCATCAACTCGTTAGGGCTGGCTGATGCAACGCTCCAAATAAGTGAAGTGATCAACACACTCCGTCAACCGCTTCACTCCCTATCTCTAAGCTAAGAGTAGCCGATGTAGTCCAGTCTTGTACCATCATCTTACATTTCACGGGAACTAATCGCATGCCAAACATTCGAAGGTTGCTGCTCAAGGTGTTCGGAAGACTCTGTATTTTGTCAGTGTCTTCACCCAGGTGGGAGGACTATATCATCCACATACTCAAAGTCAATGAGGTTATTCCCTGGTGGTAACAAGTCAATCCTTGAGTCTCTGAAGTGAGTTAGGGTTAATTCCATTAGTACATCTCTGATGAAATTGAATATAAGTGGGGATAGTGGGCATCCATGTCGGGCACCACTTATGCATACACCAGTTATGCATAGGCTTACAGAGAGATGCCGTCTGAAGTGACGATAATCATCAGTGCCCATCACGGATGGCCAATATCACCATTCTTATATAGTTTCACTATAGACGTACGGATGGGTATCATTCCATTTGGCGTTGACGTGTCTGAAATCAACTTGTGACCAAAAAAGGTTGCATAGATTCACAGTACACGTCCTTTCATGTAAAGAACTGTGCTTCCCCATCAAAGAACGCTCCGTTCTACTTAGCTGACATGACAGCTTAAAGTATATGGTAAAGAATTAGAGGCTTTTGATTAAAGAAATCTTAGTTAAGTCGCGCTCACGCTAGGCACAACAAGCTGGTAAGTAATGAGCCTAGGCAGAATTTTGTAAAGATAGAAAGTCATTATATTAAGTGGTGAGTCTCTGTTGTTTAAAGTATTTAGAACAGTTAGTACATACAAATTCTTTTTCTGATTACAGCTTGATTCCACACCGTATTTTTTGGTACAGGTATGGAATTTTCAGCATGTGATATCGGTAGCCCAAATTTTGCAGGCCGTCCATAGATATCAGGTGTGCGTTAGCAGGGGGTCGAACCCCGGACCACGTGCATGGTCGGCGAGAGTCCTAACCACTGTGCCACCGAGCCATTGCTTTTCTTAACAAGCGATGAAAGTCAGAAATGTAAAAACAATTAAAGTTTCTTTGCCTCTTGAAGATATTGATCACAAAAGGCTTTGGTACTTGAAACAATGGTCTCTAGGTTTGAGTCTCACTGAAAACACAACCACTAAGTGTGATGCAGATACTTCGAGTTAACTCATACCTTGTAATCAATCTAGATGTCGACAAAGAGCGGAATGCTGTAAATTTACTTGGTTAAAATATCTTTACCGATAAAGGAATTTATAGGAAGATGACCTTTTGCTTTACAAGGGTGGAGGGGAAACATACCGAGGTAGACTGACATAAAGAACTTCACCGAATTCTTCAAAAGTATTCCGAATCCAGTCAGTATATTCCCAGCTTAGATTGTTTGCATTGTTTGCATCGTCTGATTCCAAATTCTTCTGTGAACTGTTATCCTCATCACCGTTCATACCTATTCCAACAGGTGAACGTGGCAGTTCAGTAACCAAGATCGTTCTCTTTTCACGAGGTCCCAACTCTGCTAACGGTAACACTCGGACAATGGCTGTACCTAAGTTTTGATTAAAGTAGAACAAATGAAACATTTCAATTTGGTTTTAAATATGTAACGTATTGATACAACAATTTTTACAGGATTTTCATCATGAGCTAACATTAGTTGGAGAATCATTGGAAAACCTTGGAGTACTGGACAGTTGTTTCGTCCTAGTTTTTGACTCTTCATCAGTACGCACCCACCACCACGATTCGAACCCAGGACCTTCTGGTTACAAGGCGAGCTCGTATACCATTAAGCCACTGGGACCCGATCCAATGGCGTATGAATTATAACTTCTGCCAAATCACGACATCGCGCAACCATTTCACAATGTCTTCTTCGATGAGGAATATCTCCAAAGATATATCATTACTATCGTAAATCTTCTTTTTCAAATATTGGTTTTGTAGGGATTTAATTCTGATTAGATGGAGGATTTCATCATGAGCTGACATCAGTTAGAAAACCACTGGAAAACCTGGGAGTACTGGATAGCTGTTACGTCCTAGTTTGGGACCCTTCATCAGCACACACCCGCCGGGGTTCGAACCCAGCTCAGCCGATGATGAAATCTTCTATCCAATCAAAACCAAACCCCTACAAAACCAATACTTGAAAATTAATCTGATGCTCACTAGCGACTGGCCCTATTCAGGTAGCGACCTGGGGTTCTAGTGGGAAGCTGTGACCAGTAGGGTAGCGCAGGTTGAAGACGAGGCAGTAACTCATCGAAGAAGACATTGCTAAGTGGTTGCGCGATGTCGTGATTTGGCAGAAGTTATAATTCATACGCCATTGGATCGGGTCCCAGTGGCTTAATGGTATACGAGCTCGCCTTGTAACCAGAAGGTCCTGGGTTCGAATCGTGGTGGTGGGTGCGTACTGATGAAGAGTCAAAAACTAGGACGAAACAGCTGTCCAGTACTCCCAGGTTTTCCAATGATTCTCCAACTAATGTTAGCTCATGATGAAAATCCTGTAACCAATCAAATCCCTACAAACTAACACTTGGACATCCAATTTTTGTTGGTTCAAGAAAGGAACAATAACTTTACTCAGTTAAACCGATACAGGACACAGGAAGTAGTAATCTTACTCAGTTAAATGGTAAAAGAAAAAAATAACTAAAATGAGATTGTGGAATTACAAAAATCTCAAACAATTTATGTCTGGTACATAAACTTACCATCATCGGAAACTTTTAAGATTTTAGAGGATTCCACAACTTTTCTAAGTATATCCTCAGTAACATTCATTGCAATCAAACGATTACATTTTAAAAGTAAGGCGATTGGTATACCGCTATCTTCTCGTTTATCCATTTCTTGTCTGAAGAAGCTATCCCGATTTAGATTTCCTTCACTTAGGTAGAATTCAACCTGACGTAATATCTTTGATGCTCTTTGAACATCTGGTGTTAGGTTCTTAGAAGTTTCCATGTGCTGAAATAAAACCAACATACAATTAAACAAGTTATTTTGAAAAATTATTTGAATGTTTAATTAATGCACAATGAGTTGATTTTTTAAAATTATTCTGTTGCGTTCCCGGAGGTTTGAAGTTTCAGTAGCAGTGGTGTTTATTTTTACGGGGTGGGTTTGCTAGCCCCTCGCCCAACCTTCCCTCTTCGTCAGGACTGTAACCGGCTAAGGAAGGAAAAGCTGTGCACAGGCCGGGACTCGAACCCCGGGCCACATGCATGGTCGGCCAGCAGCTTATAATACTGAGTCATTATTCTGGGTGGGTAGAAGACAGCATAACTTGGTTCAGTAGTACACCAGCTGAGAGTGTCACATTTTGAAATGCAAAAAGAAAATAAGAATGCCCGACACTGTAACGAAACAAGTATCAACAGTAAGTATGCTTTATATCATTACAGTTAATTACTATAAGTTTGCATTACTCATGCAGGAAGCTGAATGATTATTATCATACCTAATACTGGGATTCCCTGCAGTTTTAAGCAAGAACTTATAGTTTCTTATTGATTATTTGTACGAGAGGTGAGACAGTCCCCAGATGCTGACATCGAGACAGGAGTTTTAATACAATTTTTTTAATATATTTATACAGCCTGACTCCACAAAGCATTTTTGGTACAAGTATGGAATTTTCAGCATGTGATGTCGGTAGCCCAAATTTTGCAGGCCGACCATCGATATCGATTGTGCGTCGGCAGGGGATCGAACCCCGGAACATGTGCATGGTCGGCGAGAGTCCTAACCACTGTGCCACCGACGCACAGTTACTGATACATCTTGAGTTGAGTGGATGGTTTTATACGGAAAATGCCTGATTTATTCTTGCCAATAAATGGGCTTAATTAATTTCACTAAATGATCTGCTCATAATTGGCAGAAATAAATTGTATCGCTTTCAGATACAGAGGAAAGGAATCCATAGAAGACTGTAAATATTTTTTGAGTAACTACGTAGACTTTCAGAATGAATCCAGTAAGAGCCAGAGTCCGATTCTGTTGACCAAACAAAGCGTTCAAAAAATTCGTCTGGAAGTAAATAAGTCCAATTTGTGCATAAGGTACTTTAGCGCACTTATTTAGGTGCCCGAATTTTAAATGCTAGGAAACAAGCTTCGAAACCAACTCCATCTAGTGAGGTTGGAGTAACCAGGAAGTTTCATGAGACTTCAAATAACACGTATGGCTCATTACCAAGCGTATATAAATGATAATGATTATTATACTGGTATTTCAGTTACAGTTAGTTGAGATCTCATTGGATATAGAAAATTATGAGGTTCCCGTCCAGGTGTTCTTACAATAAAACAGTAATACAGCTAATGAGGTAACTGCAATTACACCTGTCTCTGAAGTTTAAGACTTTATGATCTTATTTCAACTAACTTGTATTAGAAACTCATACTAAGCACTTCAGTTGAAAACTGGATGGATTAGGTACACTGAAGCATACTCGGAATCCCGAAAAGTGCTCTAGAAGCAGCGACGTTCATGTACATGCCTTTGGCATCTGCAGCTGATAGGACGGCAACATATTTTTAAAACATGCCTGAGTTGTACAGAGAGGACGCCAAATAGCACTACGATGATTGCTTTATCAGAAACTGGTAATAGTTAGGAACAGGTTTATATGCTTGAAGCTAAAAAAGGATAGTTTCCACAAACTAACTTGCTAACACATAGCCCACCTTTGTCATCTAAACGACTACTTCAAGCCTAGACGCTCCACCTACGTATACACGTCCTCAACTACCACCGCAATATGTGCTGAATTCGCCTGTCTGAGTTCACTCAGCTCCTGGTAGGACTCATTTCAAATTGCATTCAGGTGGCAACCTATCGATTCGTCGGTATAGACAACCTGAAGACTTTTCTAACTCTGGTGTGTAGCTCTAGTCAAAGAACACAGCTAGCAAAAGCTTCGGGCGCATCGTGGAACTCATATGCACTGGGTTGTCAGTATCTGCAGTGTGCCTAAAATGGTCACAGTGCGCTCTACCTATGCGCAAGACTTAAATATAATACACCAGGTACAAACTGACACGCTCAGTCACCTCTATACTACATATCTAAAGCGAACTATTGGTTTCTGCATCATATCTATATTGGTCTAAAACTTTCAATAGTTTATTAAGACTCAAAGGCTCGAACTCGGTAAAGCTGGTTAGTCTCAATGGCTGCTTTTAATAAAGACTGCAGACTGTCCTACAAACGAAAAACTCCGAAAAGGGACAGTCAAACACCTAAGTGTCTGCCATGTTTTGTTCATATTACTTACAGTGAACGTAAAATTCCGTGAAGACCAAACTAGGTAGCATTTATACTTGTGGCTGTCGACAAAATATTTGCATTTTGATAATGTTTCCCGGAAGTCTTCCTACTTTCGGACAAAAGCCTACAAATTTAAATCCTTTATAGTGAAGTTATTCTAGTAACTGAATCTAACTTTGGCCATTGCCCAAAAAGAAACAAAGTGTGCTGCTAATTCTTATTGCTCAGAAGGGGAAAGCATCCCAAGCTTGCAGTAATGATAAAAAAATTCTGAACTGTGTGGTGAAAATGAACACAGCCTATGCAGATAGTGGTCAATAATAGCATTTGATGCAGAAGTAATGAAGACAGTATTGACACAATGCTAATCAGTGCTAAACTAGTGCTTCACACAATTAAGAAATTTGGGGATATTTCAGGATATTCAGAGGCGACTCAAGGCAAAACTTTTGGGGGAATGTAACATCCCTCCCCCCAAAAAAATCCCTAAATATGCCGCAAATATTTTTATTTGGGTAAGAACTGGAAAATGGCAGGAAATGCTAAACTAATGCGATGGTACAGTACTGTATAGCGCGGAGAATTCAGTCATTATAGTACTCGCTCACCATAGGTAAAGCTCCGTTGTAAGCTTAGGTAGGATATTGCGCCATACGAATCGATACATAATGCACATGGAAAAGATGAACTGATGAACATAATACCAACGACTAATACTGATTTCGGTAAACATACACAGTGGGCCACCAAGTGACCTTGTACAAACAATCAGGGTAACGACAGCTTTCAAAAATCCTCCAATTCAAACTCACATTTTTAGTTGAGAATAGAAGGCTTCAAGCCTGTTAGCCCTCATCTAATGAGTATCTGTGGGGAAACTTAAGCTTTCAGCACTAGTAAGTACCAATGGAAAAATGACCCTGAACACACCCACTACATGATGAAGGATTTGCTCATAAACACATATATTCATCAAAATAATGAGTTGAAAGACGTAAAACTGTCAAACAGGATATCCGTTTCTGATGTCTGACAAAAGCTCCCTTCAGTTTTGGATTGGAGAATCGGCAAAGTAATATAACCACATTCTATGCATATATTTATCTAGGTCGTCTAACTCTAACAGTTACCCCAGTCCCTTAACTAGCCCCAACCTAACTCGAACCAACCCTTATGTCATCCTCAATATATTAACCTAACCCTAACTTGTCCTTAACCTAAACCTTAACGTAACGTCAACAAACGCCTGGAAACTTGCAAATTTGTCTTTGTTCGAGTCGACACCATCAGAAAAGGATTGCAACCTCCATACGAAGGTCCCTTCCAGGTTATTTAAAGTTCAGACAAACCCTTCACAGTCAACAGAAATCGAAAACGTGAGAATGTTTCCATTGGTCGAATCAACCCAGCCTACACAGACAGCGACTTTCAAGCTACGTCGACATCTGCACAACCAAATAATCAGAAAATCGATTCAACTCCAACGGCACCAATTCTTATCCATCCTCCATATCAAACACCTAGTGGTCAGCAAATCAGCAAACCTGCCCTCTACGTTCATTTTGTGAACTGATAAAAAAATTACATTCTCTTCATTTATACACTATTATCATGACAATTACTATTACACTTTGATACCATTGTTACCATAAATGATTATTATTACTATTATTTATTTATTAATTTACGCCAACTACAAAACGGGTATTTGTGTTTTTCAGAATCGACCTAATTTTTAATTCATATTTTTCGGGCGTTGATAAGGCATATCCCCTGTTTGAAGTGGCGCCTCCAGCTCTACCTTGAGGACATTTGCACGGTCTAGTTGATTTCAGTTTGGCTGATTTGTTCCGTTAGATCTAGGTAGCTGCATTTGACGTGATTCTGGTTTCTGTTTGGCTTGAACTCTATTGATTTCGTTAAGAATATTCGTCAAAAGCTGCCTCTAGGCCTGAAGGCAGTTATGGTGCAGGAGGATGCTTGAGAATGTGTTTCATGTGAAAATTATAGGGTGCACCTAAAATCCTCCTGTTTGTGGCGTCTCAATGATTTCTGTAGAGCTTCGTTTCTTCACTTGTGTCCATTTTTGTCGTTCACGAGTGTTTCACTAAATGTTTATGGCTATAATCAGGAACTTTCCAAAACGGTAACTGTAGTAAGGAATTTATATTTTTTTCCGCTTTAGTTTCCAAATCAATGTCTCTTTTAAGTTGCTTACTGTACTCTGTTGGCTATTCGTGATTTTTTATTGAAAAGCTTCTTTTTTCATTTACAGTGGTACCGAATGGACGCATTGGCACTTGGAGACAATGGCAACCAACCTACCCTTCCTATATCAGTGGATATCAAAAAACTTTTTGACGGAATTATGTTTAGTCACCGGAAAAAAAGTTGGGTTCAAGTAGAAGATGCTCCAAGTCAGCTGGAATCAGTAATATATGTATATATGTATGACAGAGTATTTCTAGGCAACTCATACACATTATGTAATCAAAAAGTGCATACGGGACCATGAGTCTCAGGAGTTGAAGTACAAATTAGTAGTCTTTCGTTGTACATATGGCATGAAGCGAAAAACTAGAGGTTCAGGTTTACGCGTCAAACCGTCAGAATTCTATTATTTATTTCTGCAGTGCAAAATACACCGGTTGCCAATCTGGCTTTCGTATACGCTACAAGGAGGACGAGTTTATCATTTCTTCCGCGAAAACAGTTCACAATCACAAATGTGAAAAAAGTCTTATGATAGGTGATCCATATTTTAGACGCCTGTCCGGGGATGAAAAGGAGAATATTGCACCAGTTGTGAAGACTACATCTGAGATTGCTGATGTTTTGGAATATGCTGAAGAGAATTTTAATAAAATTTTGACGAGCACAGATGTGTATAATTTACGTAAGGATGTGAGACCAGGTAAGTGATGTAGTTTAAAGTTATTTTTGAAGCCATGCCTTTGAGATCAGATGTTATGCGTATAATAAGGCAAAGCGGTCAGGTGGTTGAATACGTGGATTCGAATACAGGGATAACCAGCAGAATTTGCTTCGCCCCGGAATCACAGGTTCAGTTATATCGGAAATATGGAGAGTTGGTGTGTATTGACTCAACATACAATACCAATAAGGACGGGTAGGTTATACGTGAAACGGTTGACAAATCTTAATCAGATATTCTCTGTTTCAGTTGGTGGTAACAGACAATATGGGTCATGGCAGGCCTGTTTTTTTGGCATGGACGAGACGAGAGAGGTCATGTGACGTAGCTTGGATATTGGAACAATTCCAAAGAATAATGCAGGATACGTCCATCACAGAAACTTTCGTAATGGATTCGGCCAACTGTGAGATATCCGCCGTGCGTGATAGTCAAATTCAGGCGAAAATCGTCATCTGTGCATTTCATGTATGCCGAGGCTTTCAGCAGGAAAGTGAGGTGAACGTAATTAATACTTGATGCATTTAGACTCGAAATCCTTTTGTACGCAGGTTTTTATATCGTCTTGTTAAAGCTACGGCACCTGAAAGGTAAATGCATTGATTTCTAACCGTTTAGATTTCATCACTACCTTAGTGTCATTAGGATGGTTGATCGGAGGGTGTGGAATTATGTCAGGCATTACTGGGTGCCTAAGAAGGAGACGTGGGCTGCGGCATATATGCCGAATACTCTGTTGCTGTTTAATAGTACCAACAATAGAGTTGAAAGCCCTCACAGTCACCTAAAACGATATCTCCACAGAAGAGATCCCCTACACGTATGCATGTACAAGACGTATAAATGGTGTGTACGCAGGGAGAAGCGTCGTAGTGTTGAAGTCATCGTCGAAAGTTGTCGGGTTCATAAGTACCACGCACCGGAACCAGTTATGCCGATATTAGGAAACCTCACTCCTTATGCCGCTAAGTTAATTGCCAAGGACTATGGCCGTAATCGCCGGATGAACATAGAGTTGTATACTGATGATATGGCTATCATAAATGACGGCATATACCTGCACCAAGTGGATTATATCAATTCTACTTGTACCTGAGGAATATTTAGGGCACAAAGACTACCTTGCTGGCATATGCTGCTATGTCACACTCAAATTCCTCAGTTTACAGGTAAATCAAACTCTTACTAATATTTCAATTAATATTTTTAGTTGACAAAGTAATTCGCCTGTGTCGCAGATGGTTTTGGCAGGATCCATTGCTACCAAGTCGTGTGCCGTGTGAAGGTTCAATGAAGAAACCCTGCATGGAGATACTGCAACTTCGCAGGCAATTGAAAAGAAGCTTCGCAGTTATGCAGGATAATTATAGTAATGAATATACTATTAGTGCACTGCGAGCAACTCTGAATTACTTTGAGAACTTTCTTGTATAATAATGGAAGATGTACATAAATTTTGTGTCAATAAATGCAAATATACCCTAACTTCTAAACTGCATACGCCTTATGTTTTACCGTTTCATGTGACAGAAGTCTAATAGTCATTTGCGAATATAGTAGAAAGCATTTTCTAGAGAGCAAGTAAAAGTGAGTACTAGGCGGAATCTCCAGTACTTAGTATGAGAAGTAAGGTGAACGTCTTTTTCTTGTAAGTACGCAATGAAAAGATAATGACGAGTTTTTGTAACTAGCATTGTATTTACTATGTGGGTAATGTTATTACAGTCACACATTGCTATAACGTGTCTAGTCTGGCGTATCGCCACATGAGTAACACCAATTGTAGCGCTTTCCAGTCAGTAAAATTTCGACTTTTCGTACGTCAAACTTCGCGGAAGGTAGATGAAATTAAAGGCTGCTTCCAGACGATCCGTACAACGGCACCTTAGGCAATGTCTACAAAGACAAAAATAAGATAATTAGAAGACACGTTAAAATGCATAGGTAAATAAGTCAAGTACTGTTTTGGAATAAGGGAGATTACTAGTATTATGACAAGGTCTTCAACTCATTTCATTTCTTTCGACTGCTACCATTTCTTGCGTCAGCGTTACTTACTTATAGTTCACTGTAACTTCTTCGTTGCACCCTATTTACACAGTGCAAGGAAATGAGAAAATGAGTGCAATACTTAGGATACAGCAATAATAAGGGTATAAGGAGATTAACACTGCAGCGAGGTGCAACAGTAATAATAATTTGCTTTGTTCGAAAACAGTATTAATGTTTCAGTGTTGAATTCGCAGCATCTCGTACATTATTGTATCTCATTTTATGAAGTAATAACATCTCCAAGGTATTTCATGTTAGACTTAGTTTATGTTTCAGTGCCCTCTGTGATACAAACATCTTGTGAATGATACATGAGTATTTCAGTTATGCGTACTAAAGGTTTACAAAAATCACTCATCTAATTCACTTCTATTAGCACTAATTCTTATGTCCGTGTTACTGACTTTTGGTTTATGTTCTCTTCAGTGCACTTTATCTGGACAATTTAAGGAATTGGGAAATGCATTGAGTACTTAAGAAACGGCATTCATAATTGTTTGTGCCAATTAACACTGTGGGTGAGTTGTGACACTAGGCAGCTGCAGTGACAAAGCCGGCTGACTGAGTTTTAACATGGAACTCCGTGGAGAAGTGCAACTTTTGAGATGTAACGGGACAGAGTGTAAAAGTTATCTCAAGTAGGAGGTGAAATTATTTAAGACAACTCTTTTTCAGTTAGACGAGAACCGAATAAAAAAGATGCGATTATCATTTGCTGACATTTTGCTTATTTTTATCCACGTTTTAGCATTTCATTATACCTGGACTACAGATCATTCTGAAAGACTGACTTTC